GGAAAGAGTTTGGCTTGAAAAGAGAAGGAAGGGAATTCCAGATAGAAAGTGTGAGTACAGAGGTAGAGCCAACTCTCAAGGTCAGTTGCCTGACTTGGAGCCTGATTCCCAAGCAAGGATGGCCTTCTCTCAGCCTGGATGTGATAAATAATTTCCAACTGAAACACCCCAAGAGATAATTTGTCTTGCCAATTTCCTAGTGTGTCAGCTGGGTGCAGACCAAATGGTAGTAACTGATGTTTGTCCTCCAAAGGAAAGAATACTGTGTTTCAAAGATGCTGGGGTCTAGGTAGGTCCCATTTTGATCTTGGATTAAGCTGCATGAAGTTAAAATTTGACTTTTCCAGGTTAGATGATTGGATGGAAGAGGCAACCTTTAAGGTTTCCTGCTCACAGTGACTTCTGTGCTGTCTGAAATCACTCTTCTTTCAAGAGGACACAGGGAAAAGCATGTGCCACTGAGGCCTCCATTGAGCTACCAGTGCATTCATGACCCACAACTTTTGGGGTTGATCTGGGGGCTTTTAGGCTACATCAGCATTCTGGTCTTTCGACCCTTAAAAAAACAGGCAGATAGGTTTAATCCCTTTGAGTGAATGAAGGCGCTGTACGGTGCTCTCATCTTCAAGTACCTTGGCCTTTGCTGTCCTGTCTCTGCAAGTGGAGTAGAATCCTTGAACAGATTTAATGCTTAGAGGTGAGTTGGCCTTTAACTTCTTATAACTCCTGTTTCATCCCCTATGTTGAACATAAGTAATGAAATGTATCCATAAACATTCTGTCCTAAGTAACATAAAATATAGTCAACAGAATGTAATATTGTGTTAGTAGTTCAGGCCTAAGGATCATCATTATAAGCTTCTATTGATTAATTTAGGTGAGGGAAGTCATGCTGAAATGGTACCCATCCTGCAGGTACTGCCCAGATGAACTACTGCCTAGAGAGAAAAGTCCTTGGTGGAGTGGTGAGGGAGGAGGGATTAGGACATAACCTGAGCTCAGCATATTTGGGGCATCTGAGGTTGACAGCTTGCTGGGATGTAGGGTCTGGGTCTGGGAATCATAATTATGTCAGTTGAACCCCTGATTTGAGACAACAATTGGTGGGCTATGAACACAGGGGCAGTGGGATGCATGGTTCCTTGGGAGATGTAGCCAGTAGTTGACATGCCCGAGGTGGACCAGAGGGATGAGCCCACCACATAACCTGAGAGGAGGCTGCACTGAGGCATGAGTGATGAGGGCTGGACGGTGGTGGGCATGCTGAGAACAGAGACAAGGGCCAGTGTCCCAGGTAGGGATTACTGCTTACTTCTTAAAAAAAAACAGGCAAAAACCTGCAACACCATTATCACACCTAAAGAAATAAGCAGTATTTTTTAAAATTAATTAATTTATTTATTTATGGCTGCACTGGGTCTTCGTTGTTGGGTCTTAGTTGCTGCGCGCAGGCTTTCTCTAGTTGCTGCGAGCGGGGGCTACTCTTCATTGTGGCTTCTCATTGCGGTGGCTTCTCTTGTTGCGGAGCACAGGCTCTAGGCGCACAGGCTTCAGTAGTTGCGGCACATGGGCTCAGTAGTTGTGGCGCACAGGCTTAGTTGCTCCGCAGCATGTGGGATCTTCCTGGGCCAGGGCTTGAACCTGTGTCACCTGCATTAGCAGGAGGAATCTTAACCAGTGTGCCACCAGGGAAATCCACATTAAATATTTTTCATAGCTTCATTTAAATGGTTTCAAACTAGAAAGATCTGTTCCATGAAAAAGTCTTAACCTCTGAGGTTTGTGGAAGAAGAAAACTAAATAATCATGAACAGTAACCAAGAACCCACAAATAATAACAGTGGTTTAACACGTTACCTCAAAGAGTGTCAAATTTTGATTTAAGATGTCGAACTACAAACAGCAAAAAGTATAGGTCTGTTTACAGATGCTTTAGTCTGATC